ATTTGTTGCCATGCTATTCTTGACCAGATTGCTAGCATCTCTGTTAATCCAGATGATGCAGAACTGCCTGCATGTTCTTGGAATCTTACTGGTAATGTCAAATCAGCTTATACTGTAATTCAACTTGCTGAGTGAAATCCAATTGATAACACCCGATCTAAACTGTGGAAGCTACCTATAGCTTAGAGGGTCCTTGCTTTTGTTTGGCTAATGCTCAAGGGTAAACTCCTTACTAATTTAGAAAGATATAGAAGAAAGATGACCTTGGATCAACATTGCTTTTTGTGAAATTCTAATGTTGAAAATATTAATCATGCTCTTAGAGATTGCCTTTTTGCTACATTTGTCCAGAAAAAATACTTTGAATTGATGTGTGTACTGATTTTTTTGGTAAAGATTTACAATCTTGATTCATAGAGTGCCTGCACAATCCTCATCTTGATACTTCATGAAAGATTGGGTTAAGTATCACCTATTGGAAGCTTTGGAATATAAGGAACTGGCACATTTTCACTGATAAAAACTTTGCTCTCGCTAGCATCCTCTCCCAAATTGGCACATAGTTAATCATACTCCAAGATGTTTTTCTACTTTTAACCTCTGATGTAATGTTTGACCTGACTTCGATGGTGCTAATCAATGCGATAAGATTTAAACTATCTAAATTTTAACCAGGAGGATTCAAAAATTTAAAGTATTATTTTATTTTATATTTATTAAAATAAAAATTATAAAATAATTTTAATAATTTTTTATTTTTAACATGATCTAGATTTAATTTGGAGGGTTCAATTTAATATTAAAACTTTTATCATTGCTAAATGCTATATACTCCTTCTGTTAAAAAATATAAGGTATTTTTTTAGGGGTAGTTAGATGTTCAAAAATATAAAGCATTAAGTCTTTTAATATGCAATCATTGTTTTTTTAAAAAATTGCCCATATTAAATAAATTATTTTATATTTATTTCAGGGTGAAACACAAACACCCTATTAAATAAGAGTAAATATGAAAAAATAAAATTAATTTTAAAACAAGTAACTAATTTATTGGGAGTGAGATTCAGTTAAAATTGCCTTACATATTTTAACAAAAGGAGTATTAACTATTCAGATGTACTTTGTAAAGTCTAAATTAACATTAAATTAAATCTGAATTATGTAAAGTACATTTGGATGGCCAGTATATAGAAATTATAAATATTTTAATATTCAATTAAACCCTCTAAACTAAATCTAGACCAGATTAAAAATTAAAAAATTATTAAAATTATTTTATAAATTTTATACAATTTTATTTTAATAAATATAAAATAAAAATATATAATAATATTTTAAATTTGTTTGGATAGTCTAGATCTCATCACAATGATAAAAGTCATGGTGCTCATCATTATGATAAGCACCGAAAATGAGCCCCGTAATGTTTTGTCTATGATCTCTTGTACAGTTTTTATCTATGAGTTAATGAAATTTCCCATTGCACTCAAAAAAAAAAAAATTATTTGCTCAATCGACTGGTATTGTTGGCCGGGTGTTAAAACTCGCGAGTTAATTTCTACGTAAAAATTGTATTCATTTATATATTTGGATATGAAATTTTTAGTCCTTCTAATTTGTTTTTGATTTAGTATTTCAAGGTTAATATTTATCCATTTGGTCATTGATATTTTTTAAATCATTATACTAGTCATTTAAGTTTAAAATATAAATTTACTCTCAAATTAATTTTAATATATAGACTATTTGATACATGGGACTGAAAGCTAAGGGCTAAGACTTGAACTAAGGAAACTCAAGTTTTCATGTTTGATCTAAATCATTAACCAATCTAAATTCAATCCCAATCTCACCTTATATGAAATTGTTCAGTACCACCCACCCTTAAGTTTACAAAGTGCCCATTTAAATTTCAGTTAAGTAAAATAGATTATAAAAATAATTGATTAAGTAATTAATTTTAATCATAATTAATTATATCATAACACAATCTGTTTGGATATTGTTTTTTTAAAATTAATTTTAATAGAATTAAAGATATTTAGATAATTTATTCAAAATTAATTTTAACTGTATAAATTACCATACAGGACATTGCTTTTTAAAATTAAATTATTAATAAATTTGTATATAATATTATTAAATTTGTTAAATTTATTTACAAAGTAAAATATATTATTTAAATTATATATCTGATTAATTATAAAAATTTAAATTATATTAATATTAACAGTTTTAATTTACATAAATGAATAATTCAATATATCTTAGTTCAAATAAATTTAATAAAAGAGAAATGCTTAATTCTTAAATACCAAACATCAATTTTATAATAATTAATGAAGATGATGATATACAAGTTGACCTCTAATGATCTCAAGAATATGAGCAATATCTGATGAAGTTGTTAAGCATGACCTAAAAATTTTGGCAACATAAAAAATGTAGGAATGTAATAAATGATGCAAAATCTCTCTATATAAACATTTACAATAATCTTTTTAATGACCTTTAATTTTAAATTAAATTAATTTTTCTTCATCAATTAATATTTTATTTAAATTAATTTTATAGCAAGTGCTGAATGGAGGACAATGGTTAACCAAAATTTATGCTAGCAACTTTTTTGAGAAACCAAAATTTAAATTTTATTTAAAAAAAATAAAAGAAAAGGTAGTTTATTTTAATTTTATTAAATTTTGTGCTTTTTTTATATTTTTTTTCTTAGACCTTTCTTTTAATTTTCCTATATTTACTAGATAATTTGAACACACAAGCTTAGTCTTGGAGCTTTGAGAAAAAATTAATTTTTCAGCAAAAATTGATTCTCTGAATAAACAAGTGTTTGGATAGTTTTGGCAAAAATTGATTTGTCATCTCAAATAATCAATTAAAACGCTATCCAAACACAAAATCACTCTTAGGATTGAAAATATTCAAATGAAATTGCCCTTACCCTCTCTCTCTCTCTCTCTCTCTCTGCCCCCTTCCCTTCCTAATAGCATGTCTCTCTCATCCCTTCCTGTCCTAGACGATGTCTGTCTCATCCTTTTTTTGTGCATCTTTGAGCTCGACATAGTGAGTCACTAGTTCAATAGTTCTTGTTCGAGCTCGGCATTGATGTGTTCAAGTTTGCATTTGTTAAATTTGGGTTCATCTTCCTCTCTCACCATTGACGTTGATGGCGAGTTACAAGTTCAAGTTCAAGTTCACCATTGATGGGTTCAAGTTATTTTTCTTACAGATTTAGGTTCAACTTGTAAATTGATGGGTTTGAGTTTTAGATCTGATTCAAGTCATCCTTCGAGACTTAACTTCTAGATCTTCAAGTTCTTTTTTTTTTTTTTTGCCAAAATCTGGTTCAAGTTCTAGATCTCGTTCAACCCACTATCGGTTCATCTTTATCACTCCATCATCGTCTCAGATCTCATTCAATTTCTATAGACTCAGGTTGTGTATTTTCTTTTTATTAATGATAGGGGGCATTATAATATTTTGACAATTTTTGATTTATTATAAAATAAAATTAATACTAGTATTCTATTTAAATATTATTTCATATCAGAGATATTTTTAAAGCTTTAATCTCAATCCTAATCTTAATCTCTCAAAATTTATACTTGCGTATCAAACAAGGCCATAAAATATATTAATAAATTGACATACACCTGAATATAAATAAATTAGCTCTTAAATCAATTTATTTTTTTATTAACCCAATTCTCCATGCTACATGTTGTAATTTTTACAAACCTGTTTTTATCCATTTAAACTACACTTTTTTTTTTTGGTTAATCTATATAGTTCTTATCAATATTTCATTATTTTCGTCAGCAGATTTAGCTTATTACTTTTTTAAAACAATAACTAAAACAGGTTTTAGGGAACAAATAGATACATAAAGTATATTAATCGCGTATATATAACGAAATATGAATAAATTGCTCGTAAATCAATTTATTTTGTCATTAATCCAGTTCTCCACTCTCATTTTATTTTATTTTTCAGCTCATCTTTTTTTTTCCTATTTAAATTACACTCCTTTTGTTAATCTATATTGTTGTCATTAATATTTTATTATTTTTATCAACATTTTAACTTATTTCTTTTTTAAAATAGTAACTGAAATAGGCTTTAGGGAACAAATTAATAAAAACTAAACTAAAAACTAAAATCTAAATTGATAATTGACACAAACTTTGAAAACTAAATTTTATCCCTGCATGTTTTGCTAGAGGCTGTCACTAACTAACATCGTCATCTTTTACTTACAAAATTATTTTTCTGCAAATTTGCTTATTAAAAAATTACTTTCCACTATTTAATACCCAATAATTTTATAAATAATATTGCTAAAAAAAATAAAAATAAAATCCAAACTCACCTCACGGTTACCTTGGCAACTAGACATGACCATGAATGACTCGAGTGAAGAGCCACTGCCTCTAACTGACATATCTGCATGACACATACTCAGCGAGAAGGAAATTTTAGTACAGATTAATTGGCTAATTAAAACCTCTCACAAGAACATAGAATACAGGTTTCGAGCGAATCTCCTGAAAGCTTACTTGATATACTGTACAGAAATAAATTGAGCTTGACTCACCCATGATTAGTTTCAGTCTAATTTCATTTGAGCTTTGCCCCTCTATGTACCAAAAAAAACAGAGAGCGCGCCACTGCCTTTTAATGACATTTTTATACGCAAAACATAAATCATGCATATTAAATATAAGCCATTCGACATCCACCATTTGCAGCCTCGACGCAGAGACTACAACTGTTTCTACTCTGAACACTTAAAAATCCCGTGTAGGTCATAACGAAAGTCATAAATTATCGACCCAAAAAAACATATCATACACGAGCCAAGAAAACGCGCGCGCCTAGTGGCTATAAAAGATCCATCTCCTGCGCTTGCAATCGATTCAGTGACATTGTTTTGTCTCACTCAATCGGTCCGGACTCTCGGGATCAGAGCAAACACCTCTAAAACATAGTATTAGCAAATATTTAACTCTGAACTTTATGCATGTCAAAATTGTAATCACAACACTAATACAACTATCAGCTACATGGACCATCTGACTCAAGCATATTTTTCCACCAGAATCTTGGAAATGTGAGATAGATTGGACTGCAAGATATTCAGAGTCTCAGACATCTCTAGGCTTTTATCTCGAGTATATTCTACAGAATGACTAAAAAGGAAAAGAATTGGCCTATGACGCCACAGTATTGAAATTGAGGAAGAAAATGCCATGGACCAAACAACTCCCAAGAGTCTACGTGTTTCTATCTTCATCACAAAATCAATCCTCTCCACTCCATCTCATTTGATCAGTCCGCTGCATGACAAAAGTGCTAAAATATGAAATACAAATAAAAAATAAAAAATTATGGTTACCTGAATTAGTACCCGTAGGAATGGAACAAAGGTAACAAAATATACGAGTCATCTTGCTTACCTATGAGCTGCAGTCGTCATCCATCCAACAGGAGCGTCGATAGAATGGTGGATCAGGATACCCAAGTTACCGGCCTTCAAATGTATTCTCATTAGAACCAGCACCGTGAACCAAAAATGAGCCAAGATCCTGTCCATGAAGGGGCAGCCTCCTAACAGAAATGTTGAATAACAATCAAAAGATCCATTCATCAAAAGGCCTATTGCATATAGCGACAAACACACATTGAAAGCATCTCTTTTAAAATTTATTACAAAGCCTATCTAGATCCACGGCCAAATGACAGCATGGAGCCAATCTGTTATTCTCTTGCACAATTTGTCACAAAAGAAAACCCAATAGTTCGTACTTTTAAGGTCCAAAACATCAACATTTCTTACAACATTCAAAAGATTATTAAGAGCTATGAAATCACTGGTTTCACAGATGATTAAATTCATCAAAAATATCTGCTTTCATAATCCCTAATTAAAGGTTTCAGAATAATCCAATATCAGGAAAAAGAACTTTGCGGAGCTCCCAGGCACCAAACTCTTTGAAAATCTGAATGCCAAATTATGAGAACAGATGAATAGATTAACTCATCCCTCCAGTTAAAATATTTTAAAACTTCAAGCTGCTGCAACCCAATCCACATGACTACAGATTGAGCTAGCAAGTGGCAGGTAAACTTGGGTCTATACAAATAAGGTGCTATCATCAAGTAGCCATTTCATAAGTATATGACCACTAATAACTATAGAATTCATGTTAGTCTATTCAAAAAGTCAGATCATGGATAGATGCTAACTGATAGAAATGCTAGGATCGTTATATCTTTAATTCATTCTCACCCAATTGCCGTTTAAACAAATCTATTCATCAGAAGTGAGAATATAGAGAGGCAAGCACCTGTTGATAGGGGAACCTATTCAGTCATAATTCATCCCTCAGATAAATATTGGTTTGAATAGAAATTCCTTCAAAAGTAAAAAGTATGAACTGATAATTGAGCAGCCCATTTCCAATCAATTTAATCAATGAAACATGAAATGTGCAGCACCATATTCAAACCTTGAACTAGACTGACAAAACCAGTTTGCACTCGTTAATCCCCCAAATGTCAGTACAAGTTAACCTGGCTGAGTGCCAATATTTGCGCTACCTACAAGTAGAGAAGTGCTGCTTGAGCATCCTGGTTGCACCAAAGAGAATTACAGAAAATAAAATAAAGTTCACAAAATCAATGGTAAATTAAAGGAGAAACCTCTTATCCTTACAAATACCTCTGAAAATAATTAAATGTAATCTTTATCAAAGAATTTTCCTTGAAATTGAAAAAATTTAAAAGAAATGTAAAGTTTCAAAAGATGAGATAAGGTTCCTGATAATTGAGTCAGCTCATTGTTCAAGTAAGAGACCAGCCCATAATCATTTGTAAGTGTGAAATGGAGCCCCCAAAAACTATCTTCAATATATATAAAGTTATGATGACCTGATATAGGCTACTATGTATCTGAGGTGAACTGGTTACTAACAAGAAATTGTTACTTACCATTGTAAGAGGAAAATGACGTGATGAGGAAGGAAGCAGTCAAAGATATAATTGGTACACATGAAACTCTTCCAGTTTATGCTTCCCCCAATCTAAGAATTTTATTATTGATCTTCATAACATGATATATGGGAAGCAACAAGTTTCTTATTTAGTAAAGAAAAGAACATGATGATTATGTAAACATACATAGAAATTCAAAAGCTGTAATAAAATAGATCTCTATAAAAGAAACTGAAGATACACCTGCAATTCATAATATTGTCAACCAATTTAAACCAAACTGTATCGCCACTTGTCACATGGCACAAAGAAACTTATCAAGTGACAAAAGGGGGGAAATGGCTTTCACACATTATCATTACAAGGAAACGTGAATACACAAGATTGCTGTGTGCCACATTTGACATCTATGTACAGCACAGGAGCCAGGCCTGGGTAGTCTGTATTTTATTATACCAATCGTTTGTAGTCACCTTGGAAAAGAAGTAGCACAAGATGGCAGCAAATTTGAGAGTCTCCATCAATAACTTACTGGGATATTCTCTATTGAATACACAGGAAAGATGCAAGTGAACCACCACATATGCAGAGAATTTTCTTGAACAGATTCACAGCTGCAAATACAGCATAATATAATGGGTCAAGCATAAGACTGATAATAATAATCACTACACCACAAGAACCAAGACGTCAAAAAACAGGAAAATACCATATTGGTATTTCATTTGGTGCGATGCAGAGATGAAATCCAGCTGCTAGAAGGGCCAATTTTACTAACATGTTCCTGTCCAGAATTAGCAGCTTCAGAAGGCATGATGGGCTTCAAGAAGTCCCTCTTGGAGGTACCAGAAAGTGAATATGAAGTAGAGGGCATGTTCTCCTCTCCAAAAATCTACAGGATTAAATGCTTGATAAACATTGATACACTAAATTTGCAACAGAATAGTTCACAAGATTAAGATTTCAGTGTTGCATCAATCATAACAAGAAAGAAGAGGTTATGACTCTTAGCAAGACAACTTACATTCTTCTTAAAAGGATGTTCAGAACTTAAATTTTTGCCAATTGGTGATTTAAACTGCAATTTAACACCGGAACTGGTAGCATTGCCTGATCTAATGCGATCTGATACATCAACTGAAAGAGCATTAACAGCTGCCCAATTAGATAATAATAAACAACATACTGCCTTTCACACATAAAACATTTGAGTATTAATGGACATCGTTGGTGAAATGGGACCTCCTATATCTTTTCCAACATTATCTGAGTTATATTGAATTCAAAGGAAAAGTGTAAATTAAGAGATGTGTCGTCATAAACTAATTTAGTAAAGCTGACTTGCAAAATTTAATGATGCCACCTCCATCATGAAGTTATTTTTTCATCTAATACAAGAGCATTTATCAAAACTGTGAATGACAACACTACTTCAATACGCACAAAGAATAGTAAACTAAAAACTAACCATGATGGTTGTCAACATCCATTGGCGTCACACGACTGTTGCTTGCTCCAGTAACAGGCTGAAATATGACAAAATTCAGTATTCTCACAAACATAGTAATATTTAAAATGCAAATTATAAGCATGTCTCCACGCTGCTCTAGAAGGGGATGCATAAAAGGGAATGAAGAATGGCTCAACAGTGAGGTATTCTTACGGGTATGCGTGGCTGAGATTTGTTCTTTTGTGCCTGCTGATACTTCAAGATGGTCCAATCAAATACATAGTCAAATTCATATCCTGTCGTACACCAAATCGGGACAACAAAAGTGATAAATTATCCTGATAGTCAAATTCATAACCTAACATACACCAAAACCGGGCAACAAAAGTGATATATTGTCCTGAAGCAAAGAGAGGAGAATAAAGGAAGTAATGCATGCTGCGTAACCACAATAGAGGTACGAAATTATGAAATGAAGGGTGCATGTGTCAATAAAATTGAAAAAGACCCATATTAAATTTTCAATTTGTTGCATTTCTTCATGCATTGAGCATGATTAAATATTGATCAAATTTAGTGCAGAACAAATACATCTATACACAATAAAAAGACTGCAAATTTATGCTGAGATATATAGCTTCTACACATATCAGGAAAGCTTAGTGGATTCTACAAGCTGTGTCTTCTGACAAATTCATTTCAGAGTAGTCAATTCATTTCCCATCGATCTCCTAACAAGAAATCTACACAAGATACAGCTGTACAGTTATAATAGTTATCCATAACCAAAGACTACTACTCTAATGTTTACAAGCACAACTCTGTAAATTATATGGTTGCATTCAATTCAATGATGAGCAGAATAGGTACCTTCTCGAGTGAATAGTTCCCGAAATACACGCTTCAAGAACCCATAATCAGGCCGCTGGTCAAAAGTCAGAGAGTGGCAGTAGTGAAAGTATGAAGCAAACTCTACAGGATGAGACTTGCAGAGGACCTTTGGAAAAAAAGAATCAAAATAAGTGTCGTGATTAAGAATTCAACACGGCAGCAAAACAAAAACAAAAACAAAAGAAAAAAAGAGGAAATAAAGCAAGAAATTCACCTCAATTGGAGTTGACAATTTCTTTTCACATATTTTATCATACTTCTGCTTCTTTGTTGCAGCCTTCAGACCTTGCCAAGGAAGACTAAACACAAAATTTTTTTGCCATTTATATGCGATCACGCTTCATTATGTCATCTCAATTTATAATAGATTATTTGGGGGTAGGGGGTAACTTGCAGTAGTAGCTGGAGAGTGATGGCATACCTTCCTCTCAGGAAGTACAGAAGAACATAACCCAGTGACTCCAAATCATCCCGTCGGCTTTGTTCTGCAAGTATTAAAGCACGTGAGGAAATTACTTTCTACTCTGTCTCTCTCTCTCTCTCTCTCTGCATTTTTGGGGATGCGAGGGGTCAATAACTTCCACTGACTTACCAATCCCTAGATGAGTATTGCAACTTGCATAACGTGCAGTCCCCGTTAAATTTTTGTTCTCCCTGAGGTACAATTATTATCATAAGTTAAAAAACATTATTATTTTCTGGAGGAACAAGAGGAGAAAAAATAGAAAGAAAGAGGAAATATCTGAAGCAAGGAATACAAAGACGTTTTGAACTTTTTCTTCTGGCGAGGCAGGAGCAGCAAAAAATAAAGAGCGTACATCAATGGAATAAATTAAAATACCTATAAGGGATGTGGCGATTGGTTGTGGAGTCCCGATACCTCTTTGCAAGACCAAAATCAATTATGTAAACCTGCCAAATAGAACAGAACAACAACATATTGCTCCATAAAACAGACCATCAAATCTAACTGACGAAAACAGATATCACAAGATAATTACCTGGTTAGCCTTCCGACCAAGTCCCATAAGAAAGTTATCGGGTTTTATATCCCGATGTAAAAATCCCTTGGAATGCACATATTCTATTCTAGTTATCTGAAAAAAAAAAGAAAGAAAAAGCAACAGCTATTAACAAAAAAGTACAATCACGATGAAAGAACATGATAAGATTTCCGTTACAATTTTCCTATTGCGATGCAATAAACCAATGACAATTTGCTGGACCAATGTTAGAGAAAGACGGACTGACGGAGAAAGTTTTGCTTTTGGGAGGAGGGAACCTTGTGTTAATCTGACACAAGAGGAAGTCCATAACGAAAGCTGAATATTTGGAACCGACATCAAATTCAGTGACACAAGTGCACTGACCATTAGTCAGAACAATTGCATGTATGTGCTGTGATGAACAAGTGCGTGAGCCCATCTCTAGGCGAAAAGGCCAGCTAGCTTACCATTTGATCAGCCAGCATTAAGACTGTCTTCAATGAAAACTTCCTTCCACAATACACAAACAAATCCTCAAGACTCGGTCCCAGTAAATCAAGAACAAGCACATTCTCCTCCCCATCCAGGCCAGACCATTTTATGCTAGGAATGCCACCTGAATCAAAAATAGCGAAGAGACAAGCATCCCGAATTTAAAAATTTACTGTGTCACAACTTCCATGTGACTAATTTCTCGCTCAAAAAGACCAAGATAAAGAGACTAAATTTTAGCACTGCAAAACACATACTTCCTCCTTGAAGAATATTGTACAGTTTTGCCTCGTAAAGCAACTGCGGATGCTTTGTTTTACTGTTCTCCTGCAATATCCAAAAGGACACAAGTTAGGGAAGAACTCAGCAATTTAGAGTGCCACGAATCATTGATTAAAAGTGATGACAACAAGCCAAAAAACACATAATAATTCGCATATGAGTTCATGCAAAATAAAATGCTAAAACCTGCTAATTCAATTCACCGAGATCCTGTAATAATTATAGAGCTAAGCAACCAGACAACCCATGCGTCGACAAGAGCAAAAGAGAGAGACTTACGATCTTGACAGCGACGATCTCGAAAGTGTCAATATGCGTAGCTGCAGAAAAAAGAAAAGAAAACGCGAAATTGGGGCAGATCGATCAGTTTATAGTGAAGCAAGTGGATTTAAAAATAAAAAAATAAAGAGTGATCGTTCGCAAGTCGAGAGAAGAAGAGAGAGAAAGATGACCCAGATAAATTTCACCGAAGGATCCGCTTCCGATCTTGCGGCCAAGCTTATACTTGCAGCCTACAATCCGCTCCATGACGAACGTTGAGGAGAGAGACAAAAAAAACTAGCCGAGCATAAAAGAGGAGCTAGGGTTCCACAACTCTGCGATCTGAATCTAAAAAGGGTATACGAGATTGCAAGGGGATCTGTGTCTTTGGACCAAGAGAAACCAAAACCAGAGAGATAGATTCCCAAGGGCACGATGGCACGGACCGAAGAGGCGACGGCAATTTTGTCGTCTGAGTTGGTTCGCATCACTGGCACTTGCGGACAATGAGGAGGGGCATATTTGTAACTCTGACCACCAATGAACCGCTTGTTTGGCAACCTATTGCTTTTTGTTTTCCAGAACAAAAAATATAAAAACATTTATTTGATATCATATTTTTTAAAAATATTTTAAAAAACAAAAAAATAAAATATTGTTTTAGAAAATAAAAAAACAGAAACATATTTTAAGTGTTTTGAGATTATTTTTTAAAAAAATGAATAGAATAAAAAAATAATTATTTTTATTATTTTTAATTTTCAAAACATGTTTTACAAAATATCAATTTTAAGAATAATAAAGCAAAAATAATTTCAAACAAGCCCTTGTTCTCCAGTTCCAAATCCAGTCTACATGATATTGAAGTTAATATTAATTAATATTTTATATATATAAAAAAACCTTACCCTCATTTTATTTCATTTATAATTATAATCAGGGTTAAAGTGGATTTTTACTCTAAACTTTTTTCCTAAGAGTATTGGATACCATGCACTGATAAATAAGGTAATTTTATTTTTAGACTATTTTTTTAAAGAGCAAAAAATCCCATCAATGTTTTGCTGACATGACATTGCGTGGGATCCACATACAGTAATAGGTAAGATTTTAATCATATCTTATGATGCTAATTTGTTTTGAATTCTTTTTCTAGGTGCACTAGGCACTTTAAAATCTTTTTTAAGAATACTAGACACTCTAAAATCTTATTAAAATAAAATTTAATAAATATTTGTTAAAATATTAAAATTTTAATATTTAATAATTTAAATATTATTATTTATAAATATTTATTTAAAATTTATAAATTATTGTTAAATATTAACTGTTTAAACTAATTTTTTATAAATTTATGAATGACTTGTAATATTTTTATATATCGATCATGTTTTAAATATTGATTGAGTTTCTTAAATTTTTTAAGTCATTTTTTATAATTTTTATTTTAGCTAATACACCCAATTCAATATTTTAATATTTTTTTATAATTTTGTATTAAACATGAAGGGAATGAACCTCTAAATTAACAAAATAATTTTTTTCTCCTCATATCTGTATTATTCTCTTGTTGAGTAATATTTTTTATAGCAGATTAATGAAATAGGTAATATATTTCAAATAAATATTTTTATTCCCATATTATTGGTCTTGATATGTCATGTATATTTCTAATTTTACCCCTAAAACTACAGTGCATAGATAGTATTGAATTTGAATGGTGTAATATTTTGAAATAATATGGTTAGTTAACCAAAAAATTATAAAAAATGACATAAAAATTAAAGAAATTTAACTAATATTAAAAATATATGCAAGTTTCCACCCATATGAAAGACGTAACAATATGGGCATTGTCTTAAAAAATATTTATAAATTATTTATAAAATAGTTAAAAAATAATTTATAAATTTTAGATGAATATTTATAAATAATAATATTTAAATTATTAAATATGTAAATATTTAATATTTAGGTAATATTTATTAAATTTTATTTTAACAAAACTTTATGATATCTAGCACTCCTAGAAAAAGACCTAAGGATACTTAGAGCTCTTGAAAAAAGAATTTAAGGGCAAATTAACACTAAAAAAGGATTAGTCTTACCTATCATTGTGTATGGGTTTTATGCACATGACACGTCAGTAAAAAAACAGTAAAGTTAATGGTCAATTGACAAAAATAATTTTTTGCTTCTCATAATTTAAGGAAAAAATTGCTCTACTTACTAGTGTGCCTAGTGCTCATTGAAAAAAGTACAAAGGTGAAAATATACCTTAGCCCTTATAATTATGTTATAATTATAATTTATATTTATCCCCTCACCTCCTCTTATTTTGTTCCTCTCTAATTTTAGAATAAACTGGCCCACTAGTCAGTAAAAATCTTGTATCCAAAAAATATGAATTAAATTTTTGAAACTTTGATAGTATGGTCAGTTTACATTAATATACAAGGAGTTTATATAAAATTTTTATTATTAAAAATTTAAAATTTATAAAAGGTTTATTATTGATAGACAACATGAGTCATATTTGCAAAAATATAATAAATTATTCATGATGTAAAATATAATAAATGTTAGGCTATTTTATGAGTAAAATGTTCTTATTAATTTTTTTATATTCTTAAATTATCATTACTTCAATTAAATAAAAAATATGACATCACTTCTTTGTATCATTGACTATCTATTACTATTAGGTGTTAAATATATGTCTTCAATTTCAAACTTGATAAAAATATTACAAGAATTTATTATAAATAATTTTTCAGTTGAATATCATAAATAGATGAGATAAAATATTTTAAAATTAAAGTGTCCTTCTTAATTTTATTATATTCTAAAATTATCATTGTTTTCAACTAAATAAAAAATATGGCACTACTCATATGTGTCACTAACTATCTATTGCTAGCTATTAAATACCTGTCTTCAACTCCAACCCTAGTAAAGATATTACAAGCATTTATCACAAATAACTTTTCAGTTGAATATCATAGAAAGATGAGATAAAAGATTCTTAGATTCAAAAATAAAAAATAAATCATCACATAAATACTTTTAAAAAAAAAGAGTAAAATAACATGAAGGCATATATGTCATTATTGAAGCACCCCCCCTCTCCTCCTCCAACCCAAACAAGAGTTCATTAAAGTTAAACCTCTCCTCTCACCTCCCTTTCCCTCCCCTTTATTTCAAAGGATGGGAGGGAGTTAATAAAGGGGAGGAGAGGAACATTAAATGAACTCTTGTTTGGTTTAGAAAGAGGGGATGATATGTGTTTTAAGAATTTTAATTTTAGGGTTAAAATTTAATTTTATTCTTGTACTTATTTCTGAGATGCTAAGCACCTTGAATTGTTAGGTGGGATAACTTTTTCCCCTGAACTGTTTTTTTGAGAAACAAAATTGCCCTTCTATTAGTATGCCATTTGTTCTTCCATTTTTTGCTTATATGTCATGGCATGAGGCCTATTATCTTTTGATTTGGTATCTAACCTATAACCCCTAACTTATCTATGACTCTCTAATGCGGCATCCCATTAAGAGCGACGTGGCTCTTCAATGTTCATCTTCTTCAATTTTCACTTCACCGGTATCATTGTTGCCTAAATCATGCCTAATCAAATTGAAAACTCCTACCCCAAAATAAACTTTATCCAAATATCCTCGATAGTCTTGGTAATATTTTAGGTCTTCAAATTAAACTAAATATGAGCTGGAATAAACTTTTCAATAAGATTCCCCAAGGAGTTTTCAGCCTTGGTTAACCTGGGTATCTTAGACATTTCCCATAACAAGCTCACTAGCAACCTTCATTATTCATGAGCCTCCAAAATCTTGTTATCCTCAATATTTGGTATAACAGATTCTCCTGTTATATCCCAAGCACGCCTTTCTTTGCAGAGCTTCCTTTTAGTATACTCATTATCATCTACTCACTCTACCTTTCTATAAATTGATGAGCCGAAGATGATTTTAGAAGTCATTTAGGCAGGAGTGGGAGGACGATGTGTATAACTATAATGGTCTAACTTTGCAACATATGTGCTCTGCTCTTGGTGGCATTATATGTCATCATCATAGGAAAACTATAATAAAGGTTCCCCAGTAATGATCTTAACCTCGATGGGAAGGATAATGGCATAGAGATGGGCCACCATGGGAAGTGACTAAGTTGTTTTTCTTGTTGGAGCAGCTCACTAGACTTATTGGGGTTTTTAATTGCTAAGGAGGAGGGTGGTTCTGTGAAACTAGAACTAATGAGTATGTTGCTAAATTTTCATATTCTGTGTCAATTAAGACAAAGCCTATAAATATAGAGTGGGGGAGTGGTGACAATCTTATCATTACTATCTAATGATTGTCTTGCCTTCGAAGTCCATACATTTTGTTCTGATTGGTTTGGTGAACATGCTTAACATTAGAGGGGCTATTTAGTCCCTAGGTTTTAACGAGGATCATCAAAGTTGGTTTACCAAAAGCTCAACATGTTAATTTTTGACGTGGCAAAATGTCTCACGACTAGAAATGTCATCGATCACGACCAATCTGAGGTGGTCTACAAAGTAAATATGTTAGTAGGAATAGACATGATCATGAACAAGCTCTAGTCGTCAAAGAAATCTTTTGTTTTCTAAGTTCTTCAAGTCTTGCATGTGTGTAATATATTAGTGAATAGTCATATGGATGGTATTAGGAAGCCACATTAGAGAGTTAAAGATGGGTCAGAGGTTACAAATTAAATGCTAAATCAAAAAATAACGGGCCTTACACAATAACAAATGAGTAGAAAACAAGAGAACAACACCAAACTAATAGAAGGACAATTTTACTTCTCTAAAAAATAGTTCAGGGGAGAAATTTCCCTACTTAAACACTTCATGGTACCCACAGCTCCTCACAAATAAGTATTAGGATAAAAATGGATCTTAACCCTTAATTTTAATATTTTTATGTAAATTAAAATAATTTTATATGACTTAAAACAATTTTTAACATTTAATTAAATATGGTTTTGTAAAATTAAAAATAAATGTGTAGCTATTCTTGTAATGGTTTGACAAACCACTATAATATATTTAGCCATTGATTATCGTAGTAGTTTGGTCAAATTGCTATGAGAACTACTAATAAATGAAATGTACATATAAACCACGTACATTTATTTAGATTGTTGGACATTTGCTTTCATTTCTTTCCTCTTTTGGAGCTCATTTAATGATCAATACTAAATAAGAAAATGGATTGGTCATGGATAAATATGACTTGACAACTAAAGAATACTTGAAAGGATTGGATGAGTTTTTAGACTTTGCTTTCTTTCATGTGAGTGCCGGTAAAAATATTATTTACGTTCTTGTCCAAAATGTCATTTCAAGAAGTGGCATCCAAGAATAGTGGTTAGAGAGCGTTTAATATTTAAATCTTTCCCATGAGGCTATACATATTGAGCAATGTATAGTTGAAAGGCATAATTTGAATAATGAA